GGAAAATGCAAACCAAAACCACAATGTGATACCACCTCACTCCTGCAAGAATGGCCGTAATAAAAAAAAAAACAGTAGATGTTGGCGTGGATGTGGTGAAGAGGGAACACTTCAACACTGCTGGGGGGAATGTAAACTAGTACAACCACTATGGAAAACAGTGTGGACATTCCTTAAAGAACTAAAAGTAGAATTATCATTTGATCCAGCAATCCCACTACTGGAAATCCACCCAGAGGAAAAGAAGTCATTATTCAAAAAAGATACTTGCACATGCATATTTATAGCAGCACAGTTCACAATTGTGAAATCATGGCACCAACCCAAATGCCCAATAATCAATGAGTGGATAAAGAAACTGTAGTATGGCCAGGTGTGGTGGTTCACACCTATAATCCCAGCACTTTGGGAGACTGAGGCGGGCAGATCACGAGGTCAGGAGTTCGAGACCAGCCTTGTCAACATAGTGAAATCCTGTCTCCACTAAAAATACAAAAAAAAGAAAAGAAAAAAAATTAGCTGGCATGGTGGTGGTGGGCACCTGTAATCCCAGCCACTTGGGAGGCTGAGGCAGGAGAATCTCTTGAACCTGGGAGGTGGAGGTTGCCATGAGCTGAGATCACACCACTGCACACTGCACTCCAGCCCAGACAATAGTGCGAGATTCAATCTAAAAAAAAAAAGAAAAAAAAGAAAAACAGACAGAAACTGTGGTATATATATGCAATGGAATACTATGCAGCCATAAAAAGGAATGAATTAACAGCATTTGCAGGGACCTGGATGAGATTGGAGACTATTATTCTAAGTGATGTAACTCAGGAATGGAAAACCAAACACTGTAAGTTCTCACTGATATGTGGGGGATATAAGCTATGAGGATGCAAAGGCATAAGAATGATACAATGGACTTTGGGGGCTTGGGGGGAAGAGTGGGAGGGAGACTAGGGATAAAAGACTCAAATATGGTGCAATGTATACTGCTTGGGTGATGGGTACCCCATAATCTCACAAATCACCACTAAAGAACTTACTCATATAACCAAATACCACCTGTACCCTAATAACTTATGGAAAAATAAAATAAAATAAATTAGCAAAAGAAAGATAATGTGAGTTTAAAGAGGATGCCCATCTCTGAAACTCTAGTTCTGGGTTTTAAGAGTGACAATGCAGATGCAAGCAGACTGCCACTTTGCGTTGTGGAAAAGGGGAGGCTCCATGGGGACCCAGATGAACTGAATATCTTTTCGCATATCAAAAATCACTATTTCATTATATTTTGAACTTGGCAACAATCTCGTTCTAAATTTAACTGTTGTCTTCAAAAATTTCAGGCATTAGCTGAGTGCAGTGGCTCACACCTGTAATACCAGCACTTTGGGAGGCTGGGGCGGGTGGATCACTTGAGGTCAGGAGTTTGAGATCATCCTGGCCAACATGGTGGAACCCCATCTCCACTAAAAATACAAAAATTAGCTGGGCATGGTGGCAGGGGCCTGTAATCCCAGCTACTCAGGAGGCTGAAGCAGGAGAATCGCTTGAACCGGGGAGGCAGAGGTTGCAGTGAGCCACCACTGCACTCCAGCCTCAGCAACAGAGCGAGACTCTGTCTCAAAAAAAAAGGCCAGGTGGCTCGGCGCGGTGGCTCAAGCCTGTAATCCCAGCACTTTGGGAGGCTGAGATGGGCGGATCACGAGGTCAGGAGATCGAGACCATCCTGGCTAACACGGTGAAACCCCGTCTCTACTAAAAAATACAAAAAACTAGCTAGGCAAGGTGGCAGGCGCCTGTAGTCCCAGCTACTTGGGAGGCTGAGGCAGGAGAATGGTGTAAACCCGGGAGGCGGAGCTTGCAGTAAGCTGAGATCCGTCCACTGCACTCCAGCCTGGGCGACAGCCAGACTCCATCTCAAAAAAAAAAAAAAAAAAAATACAGCCATTGTAATGTCAAATTCAAAATTACATATATTCTTTCTTGGAAATTACCTGCAGTACAAAAAAAATCCAGCCACAAAAAGAATACAGTTCAGAAAAAAAAATGGTTAATAAATATCTGATAAGGTGCTAGATCACATCTTTTATTAAATAAATGCATATTAAAATAACAATGTTATGTCATGTTTTACTGCCAGATTGGCAAAGATTAAAAACAGACACTCTCCGACACATGCTGCTGGTAAGAGCACAGGTTGGCACAAGCTTTTTGGATGGCATTTTCATAGTATTTATCCAAATTTCAAATACATCTGCTCTTTGACCCAGCAATTCCATTTCTAGAAATTTACCATACAGATATATCACATAAGCATGTAAGAACATATATTACAAAGTTATTTATTGTAGCAGTATTTGTAATAGTGAAAATCTAAAATCATTTTAATTGTAGTCCAGAGACAATGAAATATATTACAGTGTATCATACTGTGAAATAGCTACATGGCATTGACAGATTGTTAAGTAGAGAATGCTAGTTATAAGATTGTGTGTGTGTGCCATAAGTCCATTTGTGGGGAAATATTGTACATGCCAAAACATCTGTAATGATACACATGAAATTGTTGTGACTCCTGCCAGTGGAATTTAAATGAGAAGAAAAAAAAAAGGACAATTTCTTTTTTCTCCACTATTTCTGTTTATACAAACATACACAACTTTTATAATAAAGTATTTTTAATTCAGTCACAATTTTGCATTACTACACAATCTGTAAAACAATCTAAAATACAATTAAACTCTACTGTAAAATTAACTGATAATTAAACTTTACATTCACTGTGGGTGGTATTTTAAGATGACAATGAATTGAGGTACAAAAGTAGCACAGATTAAAGTCTAGAAAAGTGAAATTTAGGCCAGGCATGGTGGCTCATGCCTGTAATCCCAGAATTTTAGGAGGCTGAGGCGGGAGGTTAGCTTGAGCCCAGGAGTTCAAGGGTAGCTGGGCTACATAGGGAGACCCCGTCTCTACAAAAATTTTTAAAGCCGGGTGCGGTGGTTCACGCCTGTAATCCCAGCACTTTGGGAGGCCAAGGTGGGCGGATCACCAGGTCAGGAGATCGAGACCATCCTGGCTAACTTGGTGAAACCCCGTCTCTACTAAAAATACAAAAAATTAGCCAGGCATGGTGGCAGGCGCCTATAGTTCAAGCTACTTGGGAGGCTGAGGCAGGAGAATGACCTGAACCCGGGAGACGGAGCTTGCAGTGAGCTGAGATGGCACCACTGCACTCCAGCCTGGGCGACAGAGGGAGACTCCATCTCAAAAAAAAAAAAAAAAAATTGTAAATTAGTTGGGTGTGGAGGTGCATGCCTGTAGTCCCAGTTACTCGGGAGGTTGAGGTGGAAAGATTGCTTCAGCCCAGGAGGCTGAGGCTGTAGTGAGCCGAGATCATACGGCTGTAGTGAGCTGAGATCAAACCGCTGCACTCCACCCTGGGTGATAGAATGAGATCCTGTCTCAAAAAAAAAGAGTGAAATGTAAAGGTTGGTAACTTTTTAATCTATGTAGATAATGCAAATAGTAATGTAAATGAACTACCAAACTCAGTTTTATATTATGAGATAGTTTATTGTATGTGATTATATGTGTGTGTGTGTGTGTGTGTGTGTGTGTATATGTTTGTTTGTTTGTTTTTCTTGAGACAAGAACTCACTCTGTCACCCAGGCAGATTTTAGTAAAATTTCAGGAGGGTAAAGGGAAAGTTTTTCCTTGGCCCCTATACAACTTATACACCCCTTATTTCCCTGCTTCCAGTGCAGGGGAAGTACAACTAGTAGCACAAACTCGGCTCACTGAAACCTCTCTCTCCTACTGGGCTCAAGCAGTCCTCCCACCTCAGCCTCCCCAGTAGCTGGGACTACAGGCATGCGGCACCATGCCCAGCTATTTTTTTTTTCTTTTATTTTGTATTTTTAGTAGAGATGGAGTTTTGCCATATTGTCCAGGCTGGTCTCGAACTCCTGAGCTGAAGTGATAAACCTGCCTTGGCCTCTCACAGTACTGGGATTACAGGCGTGAGCCGCCGAACCCGGCCAGAAATATATTTTTAAAAGCCAATAGTAAAGCTGCTTCTATACCTTGTCTCCAAGTCCATATATTCTCCTATTGCCATCTTTGAAAGGGCAGTAGAAGCTATTTTGCAGGGCCAGGGCTATGGAATTTTCCTCACTTCCTATCTCTGCCCAACAAAAAGCTGGGATATTTGGAGTAATGGACAGGGGTCTTGACACTATGTATGCTGTCTCTACAGAGGAAAACATTACGTGTTATAGTGGGGGCAGCTGTACTTCCCCTGCACTGGAAGCAGGGAAATAAGAGGAGTATAAGTTGTACAGGGGCCAAGGAAAAACTTCCCCTTTACCCTCCTGAAATTTCACTAAAACTTGACTCACAAAAGGCAGATTAATTGGAGAAAAGGCATACAAATGTATTAACATACACATGGTGGAGAAACAGAGAGTGATTATTCCCAATCCTCAATGGGGTGCAGAAGCTTATATATCATCTTGAGGTTACAGAAAGAACGGGGGCTCAGAGCATGACCAAAAACAGGCTATGGTGACAAACCAGGTTATGGTGGCTAGACAGGTCATGGGAGAGAGAGAAGAGGAGGGTTGGCCAGCAAAGGTGGTCTTGCTACGTAGATGAACCCTCACAGGTAACAGCCCTCAGAGAGGGTAAATAATGCTAAATATTTCTTCCCAACTTTTAAAGATGTCAGACTCTCCATTAATCTTTCCTAGATCTGAACAAAGGAAGGCCCGGCTGCATCAATGCAGATTCTCTACAGATGCAAATCTGCCCTGCAGAAGACAGCTTAACCACTTCTGTTTGTTGGCCCTCTGAACAGCCATCTCAAAATATGTCAAAAAAATATATATATATGTGCCAGAAAATGCTTAGACATCCTGAAGTTTCTTTAGGTATTAAAGTCTTCTGAGGTTGAAGTGGAGCTCATGACTCAGGAAAGAAGATGGTATAGAAGCCATAATTGGGGGAAGTAAGGGTGAGAGGAGGCTGCAACGCCGAGCGGAGGAGGCAGGAACCGGAGCGCGAGCAGAAGCTGGGTGGGCACCGTGGCTGGGATCACCAACATCCAGGCGGTGAAGCCCAAGATCCAGGTTCTGCAGCAGCAGGCAGATGATGCAGAGGAGCGAGCTGAGCGCCTCCAACGATAAGTTGAGGGAGAAAGGCGGGCCCAGGAACAGGCTGAGGCTGAGGTGGCCTCCAGCTGGTTGAAGAGGAGCTGGACCGTGCTCAGGAGCGCCTGGCCACAGCCCTGCAAAAACTGGAAGAAGCAGAAAAAGCTGTTGATGAGAGTGAGAGATGTATGAAGGTTATTGAAAACCGGGCCTTAAAAGATGAAGAAAAGATGAAACTCCAGGAAATCCAACTCAAAGAAGCTAAGCACATTGCAGAAGAGGCAGATAGGAAGTATGAAGAGGTGGCTCGTAAGTTGGTGATCATTGAAGGAGACTTGGAATGCACAGAGGAACAAGCTGAGCTGGCAGAGTCCCGTTGCCGAGAGATGGATGAGCAGATTAGACTGATGGACCAGAACCTGAAGTGTCTGAGTGCTGCTGAAGAAAAGTACTCTCAAAAAGAAGACAAATATGAGGAAGAGATCAAGATTCTTACTGATAAACTCAAGGAGGCAGAGACCCGTACTGAGTTTGCTGAGAGATCGGTAGCCAAGCTGGAAAAGACAATTGATGACTTGGAAGATAAACTGAAATGCACCAAAGAGGAGCAACTTTGGATGCTGGACACAAAGGATGCTGGACCAGACTCTGCTTGACCTGAATGAGATGCTGAATGCCCCAGTCCCACCCTGCTGCTGCTCCTCCCTCTGACCCAGACTCCGCCTGAGGCCAGCTTGCTGGAAGCTGACCTTTAACTGAGAGCTGATCTTTAACTGGAAGGCTGCTTTCTCCTTTCGCCGCCCCCTCCTTCCCTGTGTCATTTTCCGCCAAATTGTCTCTGCCTTTTTTTCGGACATTCTAGCTGGGCTAGAGGCTGAGCACCTTCGGAAACAACATTTAAGGGAATGTGAGCACAATGCATAGTGTCTTTAAAACGCATGTTGTGATGTACACATTTTGTAATTACCTTTTTGTTGCTTTGTAGCAAACATTTGTAGAACATTCAAAATAATTCCACAGCCCTGAAGCAGCAATCGAATCCCTTTCTCACTTTTGGAAGGTGACTTTTCACCTTAGTGCATATTCCCCTCTCCATAGAGGAGAGGAAAAGGTATAGGCCTGCCTCACTGAGAGCCAAACAGAGCCCAGGGAGACCCCACTATGGGAAACTTCATTGCTCTGTACAAAGTACTAGCTAAACCAGAAAGGTGATTCCAGGAGGAGCTGGCCAAACAATAAAAACAAAAAATGTGCTGTTCAAGTTTTCAGCTTTAAGATATCTTTGGATAATGTTATTTCTATTTTTATTTTTTTTCATTAGAAGTGACCAAATTAAGATGGTAAGACCTCTGAGATCAAAATTTTGCCCCATCTCTACCCCCTCCCAACTGCTTAACAGAATGGATCATGTCCCCCTTATGTTGAGGTGACCACTTAATTGCTTTCCTGCCTCCTTGAAAGAAAGAGAGAGAAAGAAAGAAAGAAAGAAAGAAAGAAAGAAAGAAAGAAAGAAAGAAAGAAAGAAAGAAGATTGTGTTTTTGCCACTGATTTAGCCATGTGAAACTCATATCATTACCCTTTTCTGGGTTTGAAGTTGCTGTCTCTAAAAGTGCCATCTCATTGTGCTTTGTATCCGTCAGTGCTGGAGAAATCTTGAATAGCTTATGTACAAAACTTTTTAAATTTTATATTATCTTGAAACTTTGCTTCTTTGGGTTTGTGGCACCCTGGCCACCCCATCCGGCTGTGACAGCCTCAGCAGTCTGTGGGTTGGCAGTTTGTTGATCTTTTATAATTTCTTTCCCTACCTAGTCCCCATTTTCTGGTAAGCTTTCTAGGAGGTCTGTTTAGGTGTACATCCTGCAGCTTATTGGCTTAAAATGTTACTCTACTTTGATGTGGTCTCCTTGGGGCCGATTGGGAGAAAGATAAATCAATAGTGCAACTGTTTTGATACTGAATATTGACAAGTGTCTTTTTGAAATAAAGAACCAGTCCCTCCAACCCTCAAAAAAAAAAAAAAAGAAGCCATAATTGGTACAGAATATTATTTATATTATATATGTTATATATATGTATATATATAAAATATATATAAGTATATATATAATATATAAGAGACAGAGTGTGTGTGTGTGTGTGTGTGTATATATATATATATTTTGAGACAGAGTCTCACTCTGTCACCCAGGTTGGAGTGCAGTGGCATGATCTAGGCTCACTGCAGCTTAGCTACATCCTGGATTCAAGTGATTTTCCTGCCTTATGCTCCCAAGTAGCTGGAATTATAGGCATGCACCATGACACCAGCTAATTTTTGTATTTTCACAAAAATATTTCTTCCAGACTTGGTTTGCCCATGCTGGCCAGGCTGGTTTCGAACTCCTGATCTCAAGTGATCCACCTGCCTCAGCCTCCCAAAGTGCTGGGATTACAGGTGTGAGCCACCATGCCCAGTCAAGAAATATATTCGGAGGTAAAATATTTTTATTTCTTTTACTTGCTAGATTTTGCCTATGACTAGAAGAATAAACTAAGTGTCCTCTGCTGCATACCTAAAAGGGTATTGGATACAGAACACAGGAAAGATGATGCTGGAAATGCTGAGATACTGAGGAGGGATCTCTGGACCAACCATATCAAGGCCCTGCAAATAACTGGGTATAGCAGTTGTTTGTTCCCATGTCAGTCTTCCTACCAAGCTAAAAGCTCCTGGGATACAGTTATCACAGTGATTATCACATAGTAGGTTCTCAGTAAATACAGATTTGGTTAAATGGATGGGTCAATAGATGAGTGACAGAAGAAAGACTCCTTAGAGACTTGCGCGAACTCCCTAAATGAAAGGGGAGGATAAAATATTCAGGTGACGTGAATCAGAGGGAATAGCAGAAAACCATGCCAGGGAGAATAAGAATGGGAATCTCGAGCTGTCTCAATGTATGGTACACTTGGGAGGCCTTATATACTTGGTTAACGTAGGATAACCCAAAGAAATACATAACTGTAGAAGTCACATAGCTCAAAGTCAAGATGGGGTGCATCTAGATTTCCTCCAAAGAGAGGGAATTCCATTCTTCCTGGTTGAGGAGAACTTTGGAGAGTTTGCATAAAATAACTCATGCCATTTGCCTGCTCAGAATATATTATTCCCTACCAATTCTATACCATCTTCTTTCCTGAGCCATGAGCCCCACTTCAAGCCCAGAAACTTTAATATCTAAAGAAATTTCAGGATATTTAAGCACTTTCTGGCACACTCAGGAGCAGAGCTGCTGCTGTTGCCACTATAACAAATACCAATACTCTTATCACCACTATTATCATGACCACCATAACCACTACCATTAGATGAGAGTGAAACCATCCAATAGTAAATCAGAATCCTAAAACATGTCTGGGATCTTGGTCAATCAGAATGGTATCTCTTCCTTTCTTGCTTTTGGTAATAAACAGGAGGAGGAGAGCAGAAAGGAGACAGAATTTTCCCTTTAGTAATATCCATATCTATAGATCTATGTTTATATTACTAAAAGTGTATTAGGGAAGCTTCAAGAATTGGGAAAAGAACTTTAAAGACCCAAAAGATTCTAGGGCTTCAGAAATTCAAGCTGGGATTCAATATCTCCAGGATTTTCTCTCTCGCCCTTTCATTTTTGCTTACTTCTGCTTGACTTCATTCTCTCCTATAACAGATGGACTTTCCCCACTGATAGAAAACCTATCTGCCAGCAGCTTGGGCTTATATCATCCCGGTCATTTTCTCCAAAAGAGAGTATATATTCTCAGCTTCATTTTGAAGATTTCCAGGGAAAATTTTTAGAGTGACTTGTTATGTACTTATCCCTGGACCAATCGTTATGATCAAAAGGACGATTTACTTTGGAGTGGGCAGCCTATATAGCATCTTAGGCCAGGGAGTGAAGTCTTATGATCGGCAGCTCCACATAAACCACATGGGATGCACGGTGGGGGCAATGATGCCCTTCTCCTGAAGGAAGGGAAAGAAAAAAAGATGCTTCAGACATCCACAAAAATAGATAAAAAGTAGATAGATAGGCAGGTAGGTAGATATATAGATGGTAGAGAGAGAGAGGAAGCAGGTTCATTAGCTAACTATATAGCTAACAAACAGATGTGTTAGTGCTCATATAGGGTTAAATATTTGTTCTCTTTTTTTAAGATTTATTTTTGCTATCTCTCCTATTCATTTTTTCAAATATATTATAAAATTGTTGTCATAAACCAAAGAAATAGAAAAACCTGTTTATATCTTAATTAGAATTTATGACATCCAGGAGTAATTAGGAAAGAACAGACATCTTCATAATATTCAACTTCCTGTCCAAATGTACAGCATAGCTTTACAACTTTTCACTCATTCAATCTTTTCCAACATCCCAAAAAGTTTTTGTAGATCTTTTATGTAATATAAGTGAGAGATTATTCACATAATAGCTAGCACCAAAACAGTCTTTGATTAGAAAAATACCTTAATAAGGTAGAGGTAGGGCCTCCACACAGTGTTGTTCAGTCTGTGCACTGCACAACTCTTGGTGCACCATTTACATGGACTACAATGTAAACAAATCCTCTGGAGTTATACACTGAAGCCACTATGAGAGGAAGATGAAACTGTTCACAGGAGCCAAAGCAATGAGAAGGGAGGCTAAGTTGCTTGTATGAGAACATCAGAAAAGTTTGCTTTCTCTCTTAAATGAGAACAGAAGAGAAAAAATAATTAATTAGAAAGATGGTAAGGCCAAAAGAGAAGCTTGTGTGATGGTGGATGGATGCGTGGCACATTGGTGAAGTGGCCAGTGAGAAAACCTTGGTGGGATGAACAAGAGACTTTTAAAACAAGAATGTTCTACAATTAATTTTCAGTTATTTGAAATCATGAGTAAAATTTCTGCTACTTGGTACAGTGTTTTCATTCAAGGTTAATTTCTGAAGGGAGAAGGGAACAGAAAGCATGGGTTATAACCCAGCTTGTGTCAAGCTGAGATAAAGGAATACACACAATCAGGCAGAGAATAGAACAAAAATTCAGGGCCTGGGAATGAGAATTTGAGCCAATCATATCTGAAACTCAGTGTTCCAGGGTAGGGGAACCCCTGCTGATACCGAAATTGAATTTGTAATGACTTTATACCACTCTCATGAGGATTCTGTAAATTACTTCGTGGGTTTTTTTTTTTGTTTTTTTGTTTTGTTTTGTTTTGTTTTTTGAGACGGAGTCTCGCTCTCTCACCCAGGCTGGAGTGCAGTGGCCGGATCTCGGCTCACTGCAAGCTCTGCCTCCCGGGTTTACACCGTTCTCCTGCCTCAGCCTCCCGAGTAGCTGGGACTACAGGCGCCCGCCACCTTGCCTGGCTAGTTTTTTGTATTTTTTAGTAGAGACGGGGTTTCACCGTGTTAGCCAGGATGGTCTCGATCTCCTGACCTCGTGATCCGCCCATCTCGGCCTCCCAAAGTGCTGGGATTACAGGCTTGAGCCACCACGCCAGGCTACTTCGTGTTTTTTTTTCTTGCCCTTATAAATGGGACCTTATGTTCTATAATATTTTTCTGCCAGTTCTTGCAGATTCCAGAAGTCTATCGGTCAGTCTATCTCTCTTTCATTCTCTTGTGCTCTCTCCCTCTCTCTATATCTGTCTATCTATCTATTCATCTATATTACATGAATATATAAGGATATATGAAATATAAATGGATGGTCTGGTTTTTATCTGATATGATTTCCCTTTAGACCAAGTAATTTCTTTTAGCATTGCTTGTAGTTTAAGTCAATTGCCAACAAATTCTCTTACTTTTTATTTGAAAATGTCTTTATTTTATTTTGTTTTATATTTTAATTTAATTTAATTTTATTTTATTTCATTTCATTTTATTTATTGAGACAGGATCTCACTCTGTTGCCCAGGCTTGAGTGTGGTGGAGCAATCTTGGCTCACTGCATCCATTGCCTCCCAAATTTAAGCGATTCTCCTGCCTCAACCTCCTGAGTAACTGGGATCACAGGTGTGCACCACCATGCCTGGCTAATTATCATATTTTAGTAGAGATGGGGTTTCACCATGTTTGCCAGGCTGGTCTCCAACTCCTGGCCTCAAGTGATCCACCCTCCTCAGCCTCCCAAAATGCTGGGATTACAGGTGTGAGCCACCATGCCCGACCTTGTTTTACTTTGTAAAGAGATATTTTGGTGTATTCTAGGTTGACCTTTTTTTTCTTTCTGCCCTTTATTTATTTATTTAGTTTTGAGACAGAGTCTCACTCTGTCACCCAGGCTGGACTGAAGTGGCAAGATCTCGGCTCACTGCAACCTCCACTTACCAGGTTTAAGCATTTCTCCTGCCTCACCCTCCCAAGTGGCTGGGACTACAGGCCTGTGCCACCACTCCCAGCTAATTTTTGTATTTTCAGTAGAGATGAGGTTTCGCCATGTTGGGCAGGCTGG